ATGCGATTTTACCACACTCGCAAAATCGCACACAGCCGACCATATAACAAACTCTGTATTTTGAGTGGAAATGTTAGGGGGTCGTCTTATACGCCGAGTCATCTTATACGCCGAGTCGTCTTATACGCCGGCAAATACGGTAAGTCCCTTTACTTTCCTTATTTATGTTGTAGTTGTCACATATGTTACATCTACATATTATAGAAAAGTACACTTGAAGCCTATATAATTTTATTAACCAATATCACCCCAAATATATTTAATAAAAATTAATTTTTAAAAATGAGAATAATAAAAAAATCTAATCAAAAAATATAATTTTTGCTTTCCACCATCAAACATATTTTAAAGTTTTCTATTATTTTTGTTTGTTTGTTTGTTTACTTATCTTCACTACTATGGTCTAAATGTTTATGTCCCTCTCAAAATTCATATGTTGAAATCCTAATGTTTGATGTGATAGCTAGCATTAAGAAGTTCAGTCTTTGGGAGATTAGTTCATGAAGTTGGAGCCTTCATTAGTGGGATTAGTATTTTTATAAAGGAGACCACACAGAACTCCCTAGCCCCATTCCGCCATGTGAGGACATAGTGGGAAGATGCCAACCATAAACCAGGAAGAGGGCCTTCACCAGAATGTGACCATCCTGGCACCTTGATCTTGGACTTTCCAGCCTCTAGAACTATCAGAAATAAATTTCTGCTGTTTACAAGCCACCCAATCTGTGGCTTTTGTTATAGAACCCTGAATGGACTAAGACATCCACTTTGCTGTATACTTCCTGTGTCTGTACCTGTGTCCAGAGCCAAGTGGTGGGACAACATGAAGAGAAACAGTCAAATGGGGTTTTTAAAGAACTTAATAGGATAAGAATATTCTCATAGATATTTTCCCTTTCTCTTACTCTTCCTTAAATCTTAACGTCCACATTTCCTTCTGGTTTCATTTTCCTTTGTCAGAGGAATTTCCTTCAACAATGCTTCTCAGTAGCTCAAAAATAACTTGAAAATAATGGTTGGTAGATGGATATAGATTGATAGATTAGATAAATGATAGATAGATGCTACAGCACATATATTGTTGTCAGAGAGTGGTTTAAGGTATTCAGACCTCCCATACTGTTGGATAAAGAATTCCATCGTATACATTCTTACACATGCTTACTATTTTCTAGTTGACTCTGATGGGACTATTATTTGTGCTCGCTTGTTTGTTAAAATTTGAGGTTTGGGTTCGTTAAGATTTGAGGCTTGGGGGTATAAATATGTGTAATGGGCTTTGCGTGGGGACAACTCAGAAATATATACTAGATTTGAAAAAGCCATAGCAAATAATAAAGTGACTCTTTTGCTTACTTAGTCATTGTCTTATGTTAATACTTCCCAGTGACTGAAAATGAATGAAAGGTATTGCTAAATTCCCAGATAATATCATAATAAGGCATATGATATAGTATAATCACACTTCTAAATAGCATCTAAATATATGTCAGGAGGGTTAAATGATAGCTTTCAATAGTCTTGAAATTGAATAGAAAATTAAATATGTAAAATTGTGCATTTGGATTATTTCATTAATTTTTCAAAGAAGATCTCTAACTCAAAAATATTTTTGAATTGTGGCTTTAGAGCCAACCTATAGGTGACATCAATAATTGTGTTTCATAAATGAGTGTCTGAACTTAATAATTTGTGATTAAATGTCTGCGAGACCTGAAGAAATATATATTTTCCCCTGGTGCACAAGCAGCTGTCACTATGAGTGATGGTGGAAACACAGCCATCAATCAGTACAGCCTAAAATGCTGGGCTTCTAACTGTTCAGGGAACAAAATCTGAAACCTCTGAGATGTCGCATAACCCTGATTCCACCTCCTGTTGCTGCTAAAAAGGTCACCCAGCTTTATCTAAATACCTCCTAGTAAATAGGGCACCAGCCAGAGAAGAGATGATCTGAAAAACTCCATTTTTTCTAGTTCCACTTACCTCTATTCCTGATTATCCAGTAGACAGGAAAGATCAAAACAGGCACCAGGATAAAGAAACACTCAACCAGTAAGAGAATGCACCGTTTATTCTGTGCAACTGAAAAAGAGTCAAAGAGAAAGAGAATTAGGAAGGTAGGATTTTAAGGATACTTTGGAATAACAATAAACATACTGAATATAGGAAACTTTTTTAAAGTTCTCTTTGAGATGTCTACTCAGAGCTATTCAACTTATATCAGAGTTCAGGCATGAAAGGTAGGATTGTGGGTGAAGATAAAGCCAGAAATCAGGGCTCACAGTCATTTAAGCTGAGAATAGAGCAGGGTTAAAAATAATGATCTCTTCCTGCTAGTCTCCATACTGTGTAGTATGTGATCAGCCTAGAAATAAGATCTAGAAAAAGTGGGGTCCTGGTCACTATAACCTTGTGACATCTTAAGGTCTCAAGTTGATAGGACCAACAACGTGGTAGTTTTTGGAAACTCTGAGTTAGCTAGGAGAACAAAAGTGCCTTGGAAGTCAAGAATTTTACAGATGCAAGGGCCTTCATTATAATGCAAAGCTCTTTTCTACAGCATCCTTGCTATTCATTCAATCTTGGCTTGAATACTTATTTTCTAGAGAGATTACTGCAGTGGGAGAAAGATTATTTCAAGGCTGGAAAACTCTTTGTAGTAAACCATGATTTCCTACATCAAGCTAGATTAAAAAAAATTCATTTAGAGATCCAAGATGGTGGAGTAGATAAACACTGTGCCTACCTCCTTCATGAACACATTAAAATTACAACGAAATTCTTGAAAACTCAAGCTGGAGAACCACCTGAAGTCTAGCAGAACAGAAGTTTTATAACTAATGATATAAAGAAGAAACAAACCAAGACTGGTAGGAGGGGTAGGGACACAAATTGGGCTGACCACAAACCTTCATGTGGTGGTCAAGAACCAGGAGGGATATCTCAGTTATGGAGGTTCTCCCCAGAGGAGCGAGGGACCCCAGCCCCACACCAGTCTTCCCAGCTTGGAGTACTGATGCTGACAGGAGAAGCCCTCTCAACATCTGGCTGTGAAAAACTTGGGATTCTGACCATCTGAGTGGTACAGAAGGCTGCGGGAAACCCAGGAGTCCTCTTAAAAAGCCCAGGCATAGGCTCACTCACCCTGGGCTCTCGCAGAGGGATGGTGACTCAGGGGGCATCAGGGGCATGTGGGGAGCCAACTGGGTTGTGTAGCTTTGGGGCAGGGGCTGGCGGACAGTCACCATTTTCCCCTCTGTGGGGACTTTCTCCCATGTGTCCGGTGAGCAAGTGCCATCTTGCCTGTGTTGAGCCATCCCCACACACCCATGGCCAAATCTGAATTAGAATTGGTCTGGTGAGCTCCACTGGGACCCCACACCACCAAACACCCCCAATGCTGGAGGCACTTTCTCACAAGCAACCAACCCCCCTACCCTCCATTGCATTTTTTCTTGGAAAACTATCAGAGTTCACAGGCCCCAGGTGGGCAGCAACTGGCCTCGATGTACTCTGAGACTTATGCTGAGTTGCCCCAGGCTCAGCACTAGCACCAAAACAGAATCTACATTACCTGGTGACCACACTTTTCCCACTCTAGTGACTCCCTGAGACTGCCTCACCCAACTTGCATCCTGAAGGAGTCTTTATTAGTGGCTGAATCTAAAGAAATTGGGCAGGTGGCAACAGGCCTCAGGGTGTCCTGGCTTTTTGCAGAGCTACCCCAAGACAGGTATACTGGTGTCAGACATTCTTGGTTGATAGCACGGTCTCTCCCACATGCCTCCAGGCTTAGCACAGGTAGTTAACAACTGTGGCTCACTTTGTAGTTCCCACCATGTAGTCCCAGGCTGGTCACAGGTAGTGGGTGATCTGGGCCTGCACCAGAGCTCCTCCCAAGAGGCCCTAGAACCGATATACTTGGAGGTTGGCTTCAGGTCACAGCAGAGCACCACCCAATTAACCTCACAAGTGGCACACAGAAAGGGCAATCTCAACAGGCACCAGAGCCCACTGGGGCAAATCCCATTCTGTGGGGTAAGCCCCTTGCATACCACCTGGTAAGCTGAGGATATGGCCAAACCCTACAGCCAATCAGCCTGAGGGTCAACCCCACCCACTGACATGCCAATAGCAATTAAGGCGCAACTACAGCAGGAGGGCACACACAACCCACACAAGGGACAATCCTGGAGCATTTGGGAGCAGGTGACCAGGGAAACTATGCCAGGGCCCCACAGGGCACTACATAAGTCCACTCAGCCAAGACTGGGAGCCATAGAAGATCTACTTAAAACATAGAAACAAACACAGAGAGGCAGCCAAAATGAGGAAACAAAGAAATGTATCTTAAATGAAAGAACACAAGAAATTTTCATAAACAGAACTAAATGAAATGGAGGCAAGCAGCCTACCAGATACAGAGTTAAAAACAATGGTTATAAGAATGCTCAAGAAACCTAGTGAGAACTTTAGCAAAAGGATAGCAAGCATAAAAAAGGACATAGAAACCATAAAAAAGAATCAGTCAAAAGTGAAGAATACAATAACTGAAATGAAGAATGAATTAGAAGGAATCGCCAGCAGAATAGATGAAGCAGAGGATCAAATTGAAGATTTGGAAGACAATGTAGCAGAAAACACTTAATCAGAACAGTAAAAAGAAAAGAGAATTTTAGAAAATGAAGATAGTTTAAGAGACCCCTAGAACAACATCAAGTGTAACCACATTTGCATCATAGCATACCAGAAGAAGAAAGAAAGCAAGGAATTGAGAACCTATATGAAGAAATAATGACTGAAAACTTTCCTAACCTGGTGAAGAAAATTGACATACAAGTCCAGGACGTGCAGAGAGTTCCAAACAAGATGAACCCAAACAGGCCCACACCAAGACACATCATAATTAAAATGGCAAAGGTTAAAAACAAAGACAGGATCCTAAAAGCAGCAAGAGAAAGACAATTAATAACTTATAAGAGAGCCCCCATAAGATTGTCAGCTGATTTCTCAACAGAAACTTTGCAGGCCAGAAGTGATTTGCATGAAACATTGAACATGATGAAAAGTAAGGACTTTCAACCAAGATTATTCTACCCAGCAAGACTATCATCTAAAACTGAAAGACAGATAAAGAGCTTCCCAGACAAGAAAAAGCTAAAGAGTTCATCATCATCAAACCAGAAGTACATGAAATGTAGAGGGACTTCTTTAAGATGGAAAAAAATCAAAATTATGAATAATAACATAGCAATAGCTACATATCTGTCAACAATTACTTTCACTGTAAACGGATTAAATGCTTTAATCAAGAGACATAGGCGGGCTGAATAGATAAGAAAACCAACCCTTTCCATATGATGTGTATAAGAGACTCACTTCAGATTGAAAGACACCCACTGATGGAAAGTAAAGGGATGGGAAAAGATATTTCATGAAAATGGAAATGAAATAAAAACAAAAAACAAAAAAAAGCTGGAGTAGCAATACTTATACCAGACAAAACAGATTTTAAAACAAAGGCTATAATAAGAGACAAAGAAGGACCCAGTAATCCTACATCTGGGTATTTATCTGAAGAAACCCAAAACACTACTTTGAGGGGACGTGTGCATCCATATGTTCATTGCAGCTATGTTTACAATGGTCAAGATGTGGAGGCAGCCTGGGTATTTGTTAATGGATGAATAGATAAAAAGGAGGTGATATATATATATATATATATATATATATATATATATATATATATATATATATATATACAGTGAAGTATTGCTCAGCCATGGAAGGAAATGGGTTCTTGCCATCTGTGGCAGCATGGATGGACCTGGAGTGAATTATGCTAAGTGAAATAAGTCAGACCGAGAAAGACAAATCTATATGTTTGCTTGTATTTTGAGTCACAAATACAAGCAATTACCAACAAGAAATTTCCAAAAAGAAGAATTTTCTCACATTACACTAAAAATAAGGTCTATGACGGCTCTCTCCCCCTACTATATTGTCAGTATCTGGAACAGTGCATCTAGGAGATGCTCAATATACATTTGTTGAATAAATGAATAAACAAATCAAGCTGTCTAATGAGTTAGTGACCTCTCCATCGTTGCAAGGATAAGAGAACGGTCTTGATACCACACAACATAAAGAAGAGCCTGATTGTGGAGCAAAGTGTTTGGCATTTGAAAAATCTAGGTTTGAATCCTGGCTCTGTATTTATAGGTTGTTTGAGCTTGAACAATTCACCTAAAAACTTTGATCTTTAATTTCTTCATCTAAAAATGATAATAATAAACAGAACCTACTATATAGGATTGTTTGGATAAGTTAGTAAGATATTTACTACAAATTATTTATCATATCTGCTGGCACATGACAAATACTCATTCAAAGTTATAGAATGCATGGTCTGAAGTTCCTAAGGTGAAGTACTTAAGGAGTCATTCTCAACTGTATCTGATATCTATTCTGCTCTCTGTTCTCAGTTCCCTGAAATTAAGGCTTCATTTCTTACCTCTAATAGGGAAGAAAAAAGATACATTTATCTTAGTTTCATAGGAAGAGCAAAAGGAGAGTTGAGAGGAGATTCAGGAGGACCATGAATCTGGTTATTGGTTCATATACTTTTCTCTTTCTCATGTTATCAAAACAAAATATTCTCAACAACTTGAGGGATAAGTCTAAAGATCCATGGCTCTGTGTGTGGAAGAGGACAGAATTACTATTATTGAAATTCCAAGTGATGGAAACAAGCAATGATGACTCAATGGATCAGGAGGTCTTGGTGGTAATAGACATCAGCAGTGCCTACACCCTACAGAACCACATAAGGAGGGAGAATGGCAGCTTAACCTGAGGCATAACTCAAGACATTGAGACCTTCTTTGGCAAGTATAGCAGTGTGACACATTGAGAGGCAGGTATACACATATTTTTTATTTGTTTGTCTTTGTTTTTTAAGTTTTATCGGGGAACAGCCATGGTCATTGGTTACACATTGGTTTCATGCTACAATGGCATACTTGACTCTTTTAAGAAGGGTGCAGCTCACAGTGGCCCATGCAGGGATCGAACTGGCAATCTTGGCGTTATCATCACCACACTCTAGCCAACTGAGCTAACTGGTCACCACCCACACAGTTTTGTATAAACTTCTAAGCACTTGACATCAAGTAAAGAAAGCTTCAGAGCTCTTTACCTTCCATGAATGAAATACCTTTTATTCTGAGTATCAGAAGACCAGGCACAATGATCAAATATACAAGGAGCCATAAATGCATATACACTGATGAGTTGAACAGAATATCTGGAAGAGAAAGCAGAAAGTCTTGATTAAGTAGGGCAGCAGGATCACAAGAATCCAATAGGGATGGAAAATTGCTCCTGAGGAAGCAGAATCCACACTTATCATCCCCATTACACTCTGAAATGTACTCTGGGTTCAGATGAGGACTACTGGCCCATGAAAATGGACTAAGGGGAAGACCAGAATTTAGGCAGTATTTGGCCAAGGGTGGAACAGGATTGAAGGGAGGAATAACTTTCTACTTCTCTTCTTAGATTCCAGGGGCAAATATATAGGATGAAGAAAATTGTAGGACAGGGTCCTGAGGACCACAATGTTTGTGAGATTTAGGGAAACCAATGTCTGTGAAACTGGATCAGAAGTGCCGTTGGTGAAATTTCAGGAAGTTTGAAGAAAATATGAGAGCTCTGCAATTCCAGAAATAAAACTGTGAAAGTCTTCTGGCATTTTGTGTTCAAATTCCCTGTGTATTAGGACCAATGTGACAAAAAAATTCTCCCAGGAGAGAACACTCAACATCCTGCTCAAAATATTTAAATTAAGAAAATAACAAATTTTGAGTGGTGATGAAGGAAGGAACTCCTGAAACTCTTAAAATTTCAGAAAATAGGGAAAGTGCAATGACAGTATTTGCCCTATCATTACTACTAATCACCGGTGACTTGGAGAGTAGGATTTTTAAAGCCTTGTGTATGAGATATTGTGAAAGGAGACAAGCATTGTTTCTTAGGGAATGAAGAAGGTAAAGTTGGAAAGAGACAAACACACAAACTCACAAACCACAGAATCAGACAGGCAATACCTCCAGTATTATTTTCAGATGCAGAACACAAATATCTTAATGTATTAAATTAATAAATGGTTTGAAGTAAAGCAAGTTAACCCAGTAGATTAACACCAAACTATTGGAATTTGAGAAACACATGGATTTTAGGAACAACAAAAAGAATAACAGCTCCACTGTCCAGGTATCTCCCTTACTTGGCTATCACCAGGACTGAATTTGTTGTTTCATTTTATGAAAGGCTTTCATTCAAATGAAAAATCAACATGAAAAAAGCCTGGGATCCAAGTTTCTACATTATACTTCAACTTCAACAACATTGATTAGGTTGGCCAATCCAAAAATCCTGAATGACTCAGAATACAAATATAGGAATAAAAGGAAAGCCAGAAGTAAGTCTCCCATGAAACCAAACAGAAGATTGAAATTGTGAGTTGACGAAGGGGGTTAATATTGAATTACAAAGAGCTCTAAGCACATAAAGTGGGGTTTTGATGAACAGGAGAAAGGGGCTTCCAAAATTTATTTATCAACTTCCTAATTCTTCTTCCATGACCATGAGAAAAAAGGCCATTTTGTAATTTCCTGATACTGAGGCTTTGTGAACTGGATCTAGTTAAAGAGGTATCTTCTCTGTTCAATTCTCTACAAAAAGGCTAAAATTGATCTGAGATCACATCCAAAGACCATCTTGTAGACACTGATGATGTTCCTCCTTTTTCTTTTCAGCAATAATCCCTTTGAGAAATGGAACCAAAACAATTCCCCGTCCCTATGTTAAGCATTGGTCCTTGTGGTAAACAATTTTGGTGTTAGACATACTTTTCTGTCCTCATACTAAACAATTGAAAACAACAATAATCTGGCTGCTGGTTCGAAATTCTTGCTCCTGGGAGATAAGGCTGTGAATAAACTAAAATGGTTTATTCAATAAAACTAATGATTGACTTATCAAGACTCACTTCAAGACCTTCATCTTACTGTGCCCACCAATCCAAAGCTATTGTATTATAAACTCTGCAAATTCTAACTAGGTGTCACCTTTCAAGACCTACTTTAAAATCACCCAGCAGAGGCTATAAAACTGTATAAATATCTTCCTCTAATTACCCATTTTAGAGTGCTATTAATACTCTGTCAAAATGATGTTCTCTCTTCCTACATTAGGTCTAATAGACTTTGTTTTGCTTGATCAACAGGTTTTTCAGGTCCCTAGGGGGGTTGACTGTGAACAATCTAAGTGAACCTGAGTGTTTGCATTACCTCAAGAAGTAGAACCCTATGAACTATCTGACTATTTCTATTGTGTTTGAACTACTGATGGGGAAAGTCTTTTTGTATAACCGTGGAGCTGTTGTCCTACTGAAAATGGGCTCTTTTCACTCCTCCTACCTCTTGTCCTTTCCATTGACTTTCATTTCTCTAGGACTGCACATACTCACTGGCTGAAGCACAAAGGTCACAATTTATGGTGTTGGCCTCTTACCTCTCTGATCACAACCACCCCTTGCCAGAGAAAACTAACCTCGGATAACGGGTGAGGAGCTGGGATCTAATCCTGGATACATCACTTATTGGTTTCTGGATCTATAGTAACTGGCTTCTCTACATATCTATTTCTTCATAAGGTAGTAAAAAGCCCACTTGTGGCATCCATAATTTTTAAATCCCTGTTAATTATGCATATTGCTTTATGTCTTATAAAGCCATTTCACTTGCAGTATTTTATTTCAAATTCAAAATACCATATATGTTACCATTTTCAAATGAGAAAAATCAATGGTCTTGAAGGCCAAGTGACAACTAAGTTCACAAAGCTAGAAAGAGTAGATCTAGCATTCAAATGACATATGACTTTTGAAGTTTTAAGATGCTAAATAGAATAAGGGCTCTTTCTCTGATTCTTATAGTACCTTCCATTTTTAAAAACAGTCCTCTTAGCATCTGGTGTTTTCATTGTTCCCAACCACTTAATAAGGTTTGAATATTACATGTCTATGGCAGTTCATAGTTTATAAAGCAATTTCACATTTATTATTTCACTTAATTTTATTTTTAGTTGTCACACTGATGCAAACAAGAAGGTAAGCCACAAGTGCTCACCTGGTAGGACAACACCTGCCCTTTTCTCTTGACCAGTAACTGGGTTACGAAAGCAGCAAGTGACAGAATGATCAGTATTATTTTTGAGAAGAACACTCATCTTTAGGTGCAATAATCCATCTGCATCCTGAAAGAAGATTTTTGATGAAGATGGAATCATGTTCCCTCTGCTGTCTCTCCACTCCATCTCAGCTTTTGGAAACCACCCTCCTGAGCTACATTCCACCATGAATTCATTTGTGCCAGAAGGCTGAAGATTAATATGCATATCCAAGCCAAGAGCTGGAGGAGGAAAGAGAAATGACATTAATGATTGGTGTGGACTCAAGAATTAACAAGTAAACGCTTCTTTTCATTCTCTGTGGCTGATATAATATGCCATAAGTTTAATAGTGATGGCCACAATTAGGGCTGGGATAATACTCTGACCCAAATCCAAGCTAACAGGATACTAAGGTATGAACCATAGAAGAAATGATTGACAAATTGGATTTTATGGAAGTTAATAATTTCTATTCATCAGAAGACATGTAGAAAGTGAAAATGAAAGCTACAAACTAGAAGACATTCACAACACATCTGAGAAAGAATTAAGTCCAAAATACATTTTAAAAAATACTATAAATCAGTAAGACAGATAACCCTGGTTTTTTAAATGGACAAAAGATTTGAAGAGAAAAAAAAAATATATATATATATATATATATTGTCTCCAGATGACCAATAAGTATATGCAAAGTTGTTCAACACCACTAACCCTCAGGTAAATAAATAATAGTGCCACCAAAAATATGTTCAAGAATACTCATGGTAGCATTATTCATAATAGCCCCAAACTGAAAGTAGTCTAATTGTCCAGTTACAGTATAGAATAGTACAAAAAAATGCAAAAGAACACATTTTTTTTGCTATTCACAGTAACATAAATGAATAATGGTGAGCAATTGTGTATCTAAATGTGTGTTTCAACTTGTATCACACTCTAGAAGAAGCAAAACTAATCTATCATGATAGAAGTTAGAATGATGGCTACTTCCACAGGAGGAGAGTGGTATTGACTAGGAAAGAGAAAGATGGACCTTTCTGGGGTGCTGGAAATATTCAATACCTTGACCTAAAGGGTGATTTCCTGGGTGTCCCCATATGTAAAAATTCACTGAGCTGTACATTTAAGATTTGTGCACTGTACTATTTGTAAAGTATACCTCAATACAAAAAGAAAAATAATTTTAAAAAATCCAAATTAGAATCAAGTCCTACTAGGTGTCCCCATCTTTACATTGGCTATTTTGAAATTTGCATCATTACTTTTTGAGCATAGAACCTGCATCAAGTTCTTTTGGGGAGTAAACAAGTATACAAATAATAAATAAATTTTAAAAAATAGAAATGATGTGTTTAGAGTTTTGGCTGCCAGTAATGATGATTAATTTGAACTAATCTTTCAGCTGAAGACAACCCAAATGTGGTTGAAATATAAAAAACATCTCCTAAAATCTGCTCACAGTTCTATCAAGATAAAGAGCAATTACAGAACCTGAACAGGGAAAGGATTGAAATTAAGGGAAGGTTTAGCTATTTCTGCCTCTGAATGTTTGCGTGTCAGGGAGGTCAGCTAATGATGCTGAGTTTGTTTTAGAGAATTTCTGGGAGTAAGAGAGAAAAGATTGGAACCTAGAAGGTGAATGTTCTGGTGAATTAACCCTACCCCATACCCAATTTATTCTATCAATTCAACGAAGTCTAATAAAAGTCTAAAGGTATGAGTGTGTGTGTGTGTGTGTGTGTGTGTGTGTGTGTGTGAGATATTGATAAACTGATACTAAAATTTTCATACGGGCACATACCTGCACATGTGTGAAGTTAGATATGTAGTTATTTACTTAAATTATTAATTAGAGTTTTGCTTGTACACCAAAAGCTTGAAAGCAACCTGCATATTCTTTAATAGGATATGAGTAAGATAATTTCTACAGCATCCACAATGGAAAACATTGTAACCATAGAAGCAATAGAAAAAAATTCATATACCAATATGAAATTTCTTTCAGTTCATATTATTAAGTAAAAAAAGCAAGTTGTAAAACAATGTATATAGTATATTAGCATTTATTTTAAAAAATATGGATATATATATAAAGATTATATAGAGATATATGTGTACTTGTATATCTGTGTTTGCATATACATGTACATATGTATATTTATGTATATTATGCATATAAATGTAAAATATCTCAGGAAGTGGTATTTAAGAAACTAATCATATTAGCTGCCTGTGAAAAGTGAAATTCATGGCTATAAGATGGTAATATTGATGACTTTTCACCATGCATTCTTCAAATTATTAAATTTTGAATCTTGATGTTTTCATTCAGAAAGTAAGCAATATTTAAAGAAAACAAAAATCAGTAACATTCCTACATCACAACCATGTTCATTAAAATGTGTAGCAATAACATACCATTCATAATCCAAAAAAAATTGACTAATGAAATTTGATAGAAGTTTTGCAAGATCTTTATGGGTAAACATATCAAATTTAACTGAAATAAAATTGAAATAAAATAAAGAAGGCCGAGTAAATGTTCCTTGATGTAATAAAGAAACATGGCAAATCTCACTAAATTAGTCAATAAACTCAATACAATTTCAATCACAATTACTAAGAGGATTTAATTTTGTAATTACAATTCATACATTAAAGGGCCAACACAGTTTTGAAGAAGGGTATCAAGGCTGGAAGATATGCCTTATCATATATCAAGGCACATAGTGATAGTAATTTAAATAATCAAATTAAAAACTCAGAAAAAGACCCATGTGGAGGTATGGACTTTGTAGATGACAGCAATACCTTACAATTATTGGAAATAGTAAATAAATATATATCTTAATACTGAAAGACATTATTATCTCATAACAAACACAAAAGTAAAATTCATATAGCTCAAGAACTAAATGTGAAAAAAGAACTTTAAACATTTAAAAGGAAATATCTTTATAATATGAGGATAAGAAGGTGCTACACAAATGATAAATCATAATTGGTAAACTGTAAATCTGATAATTTCAAAATTATATCTATGCAACAAAAATTACCATAAAAGTGTTTTTCTCAAAAAAAATAAGACTAAAATTATTTCTACATAAATAAAAACAGAAATGTAACATCTAGAACAAAAAAAATTCCCATAAATTAAGAAAAAAATCAAAGAACTCAATAATAAAATGGGCAAAAATAATAAACAGACAAGAAGCAGAAAGGGAAATACAATTTCCATTCTATAACAAAGAATAATTTACTAGCAATAAGGAAAACTAAAACCAAAATTGCCCAAGTTTAAAAACATGATACTTCCAAGTATTGATGTAGATACAGATTTTGCATGACTTGAGTCAAATATAAATTGATCCAATCATTTTGGTGGGTAATTGCCAGATTAATTTGAAGATATTTGTACACAATGGCCTACCAACTTCCTCTTAGCTGTAGATCCTAAAGGAATTCTTGCTCACAAAGTATACAGTTTAACATAGGAACAGGAACTTGACTACTACCTTAATGCCCAGCAATATGGGAATACATAAATCAATAGTCGTATATTTATGGGGTGGAATATTATACTACAGTTAAAAAGAATGAATTGTATCTACTTGAATGAGCATGAATTCATATCAAAATAAAATAGTAAGTCTATAATCAGGTCAATGGAATATGTAAAAGATAGTAATATGTAAAATTTAAAAACACACAAAATAATATTATCTATTTTTATGAATGACTGTACATAAACCAAAAGAGATAATATGAGTTTAATGATTACTTCTTGGAAAGGAGAAAAATGAATGGCACCATCGAGGAGTACAAAGGTGACTTTAACTTATCTGAAGTAAATATAACAAATTGCTAACCAAGTATTTGGATTATTATATTATTCTATGTATTTTTCTATAAATTATACTATTGCATTATATTGAAAAGTTATAAATTTTTGAAAATGCACTGAGATCTTTTTCTCACGGTCCAGCTTTAATGAATCCTGGATCACGGGTCCAGAGTAGCACTCCCAAGGAAAGCTGGAGATGACCCCCCTGTCCTTACCTGCCACCTTCAGATCCATGATGGCTTCTTCATAGGTGTCACCATCTTTAAAGAAACAGTGGTACTGCCCCTCATCAAAAATACTGATATTGTAGATTCTGAGGGTCATTCTGCCCACTCCCAGGGCATCCTTCAATAATACTGTGCGATTCATGTAGTCCTGAGTGTTTCCTCCAGAGATTTTTTTCCCATGCTCATACTCTTGGACTAGTTGGGAGTAGTGATCCCGGTACCAGCCCACATTCATGTGTTCTGCACTCTGTGGTGGTGACAGCTGGCAGCTGAGCTCAACATGTTCACCTACCATGACCACCTGGTGGCTCCTGGAGCTGCTCACAGTGAAATGCTCTGTGGAGGAAGTTGGAGACCAAGGGTTTAGTTTAGGCCTCAGAAGAAGGCTTCACTAAGATCCCTCTGCCCCAGACACATTAGCCTACTTTCTGATTCTTGACTCAAAACTTTACTCTCAGAGGTCTTTTCACTCTGATAGCAGCTTTCCTCCCCAGACACTCCAGTCACTGCCTCCTTCTCTCTCCTTAAGGGAACTTTTTAAGACTACCCACTTAACATTCCCTTTAATTACAACTAAAGATGTCTTCATAGCACATATTACTACCCGGTATTTTAAATCCCTGTGTCATCTCATGGCCCACTAATTTGTAAGTCATACAATAGCGGAGTCTTGTTTTATTTTCCTTTTTAAGTCTCTTTATTATCCCCAATGCATAAAACATTGCTTGGACATAGTAGGCACTCTGTAAATACTTAATAAAGGAATGGAAGATGCTCCCATTGTTAAGAGGTGGGGTGTGGACCACTATTGCTGAACAACATCCTTTACTTATCAAATACACCACTACTTTTTTTCAGTCTCCATTTTTGGTGGATTAAAGATGGCCACAAGTTTTTTGATGTTCCTTCCATGAAGAGAAAGGGTCTATGTCCCCTCCTCTTGAAACTGTGTTCTGAGATTGCTTTGCTCGGAAGAATATGGCAGAAGACAACCTGCAATAATTTCTGAGCCTATCTTAAAAAACAAGCAGCTCTCAGTTTTTTGGGGTTGTTTTTTTGTAATATTCTTTCTGGAAACCATGACCTACCAAAATGAAGTCTGACTACACTGAGACCACCATGGCAGAAAGGCCACGTGTGGCATACTATTTGACAACCCCAGCTGATCCCAGCTTTCCAGCCTACTCCACCAAAGAGCCAGACATCTGAATGAAGACATCTTGGGCCCTTCAGGTCATCCTGCCCATCAGCTGAATACAGCAAGTGACCTCAGTCTATGTCACATGGAACAGAAGAATCCCTCAGCTAAGCACTGGCCAGAATTCCTGACCAACAAACCTGTGAGATATAATAAAATGGTTGTTTTAAATCACTAATTTTGGAATAATTTGTCATGAAACTCTAGATTAAACTATCACACAGCTCCTTGCATATTCTGAGTTTTTCTCCTTTCAACTATGCCAAATTCATTCCTATCTCTGCCAGCAATGTTTATCATTCTCGCCATAAAGAATCTGAATTATCACTTAAGGCCCACTGCACTAAGAAAAATGTGCGGACAGATCCAGCTCACACCCATTTCTTTATCTGAGGTCCTACTAAACTTATAATTCATAGTCACATAAACTTTCATGGTTTATTGTTAAGTAAAGGGATATATATTCATTATGGTTTGCCAGAATTTGAGCCTCCCTGGGGGCGATGGTAGATATTTATCTGTCTCTTCTTTTGGGCACATCATTACAGCACTGTGGTATGGAGTTTAGGCTCAGAAAGACACAGTCACTGAAATAATATTTCTTAATAATAAGTTGATTTAAGCCTCATTTTTATCCTCAAAACTAGAACAGAAAAGGTAGGACCTGAGGGACATTAGTGAGAAAGCTTCCTCATTTCCTTCAATGTCACTTATCTCCATTATTTTTCCTGATAGATGTGACACACCATGAAAAGAAAATAGATATTCCTACCTGAGGTGGGTACTACCATCTGTAAGAGAAAAATGGCCACAAAGTATCCAGACACACTGGAAAATGAAGGCTCCATCACACCTGGAAAATGAAAGAGCAATTGTGGGACCAGGCAGCAAGAATAATCATGGACACACACACACACACACACACACACGAAATGATTTTGAAATCTTGCCCTTCGAGAGAATTCCCTTTGATGTACAACCAAATGACTTAGTGAAACCAAAGTTGTCAGACCAAGTGAGAGTCTCTGTTTTCCTCTTTCCTTCCTGTTCTCTTACTGTGGCTCACTGCTTTCATCAGATTACTATTCTGAATGGCAGTTGTGGCAGACAAGAGCATAAAGGTGTACAGAACCCAGCTATGCACATCCCCACGCTCATTTGGTCCCACCTGCTCCTTGGCCTGGGCCACTTCCTCAGTGGAGAGCCCCGGCTGCTGCCTCTGACATTGCCTCCTTTCCTGATGGGGACACTCATGTGCCTTCCGGGGGGAATAGGCCCACTTGAGCAACATATCTGTAACTCCATTGTGATGGGCAGGGTCTGACCAGCCTGCATCCATGGAACTTCTGGCTCTTCTCACTACTTCCACATGCAAAGGAAATGCCACAACAGGGAGGTAGGGTCTCAGTTCCCCAGCAGCTGCCCAGAGGGCCTGGATAAAATAACTCATATGTGAAGGGGTATTAACTGCTTGTGAGATAAACTTGGATTAATCAGATACAGGAAATAGGAGGGAGCAAGCAGATAAATGCTACTTTTTTCTTGCTTTATTTCTTAATTTCCCCCTCACTTTTGCTGCCTAAATTGCAACTTTCCTCCAATAAATTCTTAGTGATACGTCTAGTCATAGGCTCTTTTTCTCAGAGTCCTACACAGAAAAAAAAACACGGCTAAAATATGGGAATACATATTAGTTTGCTGGATTGAGGGGCATATATTTGGTTTCATACATTCAACAGTTAAGCAAAGCCTGGTTCATGAAGGATCTTAAATGTGTCAATAAATAAAATATTAGATTTTACCTGCTAGAATATGGAGTGCTTATGTACAAATATAAATGATGTGGTTCCATTTTGAGATTTGAGTTTTCCAATACAAGAAAATAATGTATTAGAGAGAAAAGTTACAGGTTAGCTATCTCTTGCAATGGTTTAACTATCCATTAAAAAAGAAAATGGGATTGGAAAGAATGATATAGATGAATACAATACCACAAAGTGGGGATAGATATTTGTAAAACTTCAACTGATGAAGGGCTGATATCCTGAATATATGTTTAAAAGTTTTTAATTACACAAATTATTTTTAAGGTAGATAAGCCAAAAGAAAAGTAGGCAAGGGACCTAAACAGTCTCAACATAGAAAATACCCAAACAGCAGTCAAGATAAGAAAAGATGCAGAATCTCATTAAGAATCAGGAAAATGCATATTAAAACCACAATGTAACATTGTCACACCCACCAGAATGGGTACAATGAGAAAGGCTGATGATACCAAGTTTTGATGAAGATGTGGTGCAATGTGGTGGACAGGGCATTCCTCGTGTTCATGGCTGGTTAGAGTGCATTGGTAAGATGTTACAGTAGTCTCCCCTTATCCATGGGGGTACTTTCAAGACTCTCAGTGGATGCCTGAAACTGCAGATAGTACCGAACCTTAGATATTCTGATTTTTCCTATACATACATACACTTTATGACTTTTCTTTGGCATATATGAATTGCCAGCATCGCTACTCTTGCACTTTGGAGCCATTATGAAGTAAAATAAGGGCGACTTAAACCAAGCACTGTGATACTGCAATAGCTGATCTGATAACCGAGATGTCTACTAAGTGACTAATGTGTGGGTAGCATATAAAGTACGGATCCACTGGACGAAGGGGCGATTCACGTCATGGGTGGGACAGAGCAGGTCAGCATGAGATTCCAGCACGTTACTTAGAATGGCACGCAATTTAAAACTTATAAGTTTATTTCTGGAATTTTCCATTTAATATTTTTGAACTGTGGTTGACCGTGGGTAACTGAAACTGCAGATAAGGGGGGGAACTACTGTACTGTATTTAAAAGCACTTTAGCATCTTCCACTAGACATGAACATAAATATAGCCTATGATCCAGCAATTCCACATCTGGGTATATGATTATTAGAAATACATACACATCTGCACAAGAGACATGTACAATAAACTTCACTATAACACTATTGGTAGTAACTAAATTAGGTACAATACAAATATTCTAACTATAAGCCTACACGTACTCGTATAACCCAAAGTAATATCAACATCCAACAAACAATTTTACAAACATTAATAACTGAGATTTTGTTAATCGATTTGTTAAAATCTCTTTTCATTTATAATAACTTAGGTGCATATTCTTTTGTAATTGTACATAAAAAATCATGTTTTTCTAAATACTTATTTTGTTTCTTTACTAAAAAATTACTTGCATTTTTTGCCAACAACAGAAAGTTTGAATATATACCTTTTAAAACTATCATTTATTAATAAAGTAATAAAAATGTAAAGCCCCCAGGAATAAGTGTAACGATTCAAAATTTTTACTAATGAAATTATGACACTGTATCATAATTGTATCATTGAAAGATATTACTTTGTTATGCTAAATCCCAGAGAGATGAGTGTTTATGCATTGGAAAATTTAATATCATAAAGATGTCAAGTCTATCCAAAATATTTTATAGATTCAATACATTTCAGTCAAAATTCTGACTTTTTCTGTTTTTGTTGTTTTGTTTTGTATTATGAATCTTAAAAGAATGACTCCAAAACATGCATAGAATAGTGATGGACCAAAAAGAGCCAAAATTCTTCTGAAGAACAATAATGTGAGAAAATCTGAATTAAGTGATATCAAGACTTATTATAAAACTATTGTAACTAAAAAGAGTTGTGGTATTAGTGTAGATATAGATAAATACATAAATCAACAAAATAGAGGTCCCAATACAGATCCAAACACACATGGAAACCTGATCCATGTAGAACTAGCATTGCAAATTAAGAAAAGAAGTACTATTCTATAAAAGGTGCATAGGTGAGTGGAGGCTCTAAGTCTATAAGGTATACATAAGCTAAATCAAAGCTGTAAAAATGTTAGATCAGTTTTTAGTAATATACTTTTTATGAAATTGGGATACAGTAAGTCCTCGACTTACGAACGAGTTCTGTTTCAGGAGAACATTTGTAATTCCGGTTCGTTCGTAAGTCCGACAAAGTGAGTCTTAAACACCTTTGACACAAATATACAATGTAAAGTCAATGGTTGTACAATTCATGTTATAAGAACTAGTGACATCTACCATCTTTTCACCTCAGTCCAATCTCTCAAGTATTTTCACTTTTGTTTCCATAGTTATTGCTTTGCACTTCCTAGCAGTCCCCCGCCACATCATCACTGCTTTTCCTCTTGCTTCTGGACATCCTGGGCTCTGATTGAGCACTGTACTACTGTACATTATCGCACTGTACAGTAAGCACACAGCAGCACAACTGTTACAATATCCCGCAGACACGTGAGCTACTTCCATGATTTGTTTGCATCTACGAATGTTTGTAATGCGAGGTCAATTCATAACTGTGGAAGTTCACAACTCTAATGCTCGTAAGTCGGGGACTTACTGTATGGACAAAATTCTTAAACTATGAATAAAATGGCAATGGAAAATGTTAAATTGAACTCCATTAAATTTAATAGTGTGTTTATCTAAAGACATAAGATGGCAACTCCTGATATACTTGTAGAAGAAATTTGAAATACCCAGAACTAGCAGAGGATCAGTATCTAAAATATATTAGTTACTACTTATCATTCAAATTGCTAGTCTTCTCTTAACAGAAACAATTCTTTGTTTCTTCCTTAGGAAAGAACAATCTGTGTATATGGAAGAAATTGAACAACCCAAACAAAGCTATAGTTTTCAGATTCCTTGCAGCTAGGTGAGGCTATTGGACTGATTTCTGGCCAACGCAATGCAGACAGAACTATAAACAACTTTCTTTTATCCCTAAACACAGGAGGCACACCTTTTCTTTCTCCTAAAAGCCAGACTGAATGCCATCCTGATGGCTCTATCTCAGACATACCTTGAACCTTGAAGTGGAAGCCATAGGCTGAAGATGATGGAGCACCAAGTAAAACAGAAGGGGATTGGGTCCTTAAATTTACAAAGCTGCGCCGCCAGCCTTGGAAACCCACCTTTGGTCTCCATTTTGTTTAATGATGAAACTTATGTCTTTTTTTTTCTCTTGAATAGGGTTGCATTTACACAGTTGTTCAGTTTATTGTCATTCTTCTTAATGCAAATGTATTATAAATAATATTTATATTGATTGACTATTTATCTTTAAGATGTCCTTAAACAAGATTATAGAAGGTCAAAGGCAAACATTTCAAGACTGGTACACCAGCTTCCTGAAGTGTTAAAGACCCAGATTCCTTCCAGGTATTTTGGATATATCCTCCCCACACACCTTTAAACACACATACACCCCAATGAATGCATGCATGCAACGGCTTATTTTTCCAGTCTAAAGTATATGCACATCCCCTCATAAGAGAAATCTGGAGGTGGCAACCCTACCCAGTGTGTAGGACTGTTTGTTCAAACTAATTTTTGTCATCAGGATTCAACAACAATTCTCAAACAAGCACAAGTTTCAACTTGACTTGCCTCTCCTTGAAAATAGAGCATAAAACAATGTTGTTTATTATGTATCATAAAATTTGAATCATTTAAATTTTCTATGATGAAGAAATTACAATAAAGTGTCTTAAGAATATATCGGGGAAGATTGTGGACAATGGTTACAGCCTTTGAACGTGGAAATAGGAAGGATCCTCCTTATCTTGATAAAGTCTACCTATAGACTTCTCCATAAACATATTCAACGTGGAAAAAAAATCTTTGACATCTTTCTCTTAAAGTGTAAATAGTTTTTATCCAACAAAGAAAATAAAGATGTCCGTGTAGCATAAATATTAGAAATGAAAGAGAAAATGAATAAATGTGGATGACATAAAGCATACAGAAAGTGATAAGAAA